CTGCCCTTCCTCCCCGCGCCCCTCGGCCCCCGCCGCCGCCCCGGGGCCGGGGGGAAAACAGGAAGCGCTCCCCAGCACGCTGCTGCGGAAATGAGACAAGCGGGCTGGAGCGGCGGCGAGGACGGCGGGAGGAAGCGGACGGGATATTTGGAACTGACGGCGAATTCTTGGGCTTATCTCTGCGCCGCAGAGGCCCAGGAGTCCTTACAAAACAGCGCCCAGCTGGAGCGAGGCCCGAGGCTGGGGACGCGTCCTCGTCCCCAGCGCCGCTCGTGGTACCCGGCTGGGCGGCGGGACGCTGGTGGCAGGGAGGGGACACACACCCAGTGGGGTGGGTGGCACCTGCGTCCCATCAGTGGTCACGGAAGGGACCTGACGCCCCGCTGCAGTGTGGGGATGGGCAGCCACCGAGCTGAGTGATGCCCAGGTTGCGTGTACCTTCCTTCAGCAGGAATTTGGGGATGGCGGCACTCCCCAGCATCCCTAAAGCCTGTCCGAAAATCTGGCTGTTTTATGAGCCTCCAGGCACGAGTTTCCCCTTTCCCATGGGAAATCATTCCGTGTCCTGTCCACAGTCTGCACTGGGACACTTTCAGCCCTTCACCTTCCCTTCCATACCCGCAAGCACCAGCGGCAGGGCTGGCATGTGGATGCTGATCCCCTGCCTGCCCTGCCTTCCCTGCCCACGAAGGGTTACAGCCAGCCCGGATTGCTCCGATTTCGCCCTTCCATCTGCTGCTGGCCTTTTTGGTGGGTTTGAATTATTTTTCATAACAATGCTGTGATACTTTATATTCGGCACACCCCAGCCGGGGAATAGAAAGCGGGTCCGGGCTGGGAGCACCCGACCCAAAGGCAAAGGTCTCTGCAGTGCTTCCTAAAAGCTGGAAGCTGCCCGCTGCGGGCGTGGGAGAGGGGTGGCATCACCCCGGGGAGCTGGGGCTGCTGCCAGCACCCAGGACTCCCCACTTAAGCTTTGGTGGGGTCAGTCCCTCGTTTATTAATTGGTGGTGAAAATTAGACAGGAGCCCCGCAGCGGGAGGGGGAAGGCAGCCGGAGCACCCCAGCGTCAGCGCAGGGAGCGGCTCGGGGTGGGTATCACCCTCCTGGAGTGTCCCTAACCTGGTGGGGACCCCCGGCCGAGGGCACCCAGCGCGGTGGCTGCAAGGAAGCGCCTTTGGAGCCGGAGAGCGCTGGCGGTGGGGCGATGCCTGCGGACGGGACCCGCCGAGGAGGGCTGCCGAGGCCAGTGGAGCCAAATTTGGTGGCTGGTGGAGGGGAAGGGTGTGACGGGTCACCCTGGCAGAGGCTGAGACTCCTCCTCTGCGGGGAGGAGGACAAAGGATGGAAGCGGCTGCCCCGTTGCAACACATCCCCGGCGAGCACAATGGAAATGCCATCCTCCGTCTTGTGAAACAGGAACCTCATATGATCTCGCTGAAGGCTTGGGGACACTCTTGTAGGTCTGAGCGTGAAGCTCCCCGGGCTCCTTTCTCTACCCGCAGGGGAACAGGGAGAGTGAGGAGTGCCCCAGAGCATCCCTGCCCTGGTGAGGACCGAACTGCCAGCACTGTCCGCTGTGGCACGCTGGACCCGCTGGCAGGAGGAAGCGGATGCCCTGCCACCCATCCTGGGGACAAAACACCCCTAATTTCCCCTTTCCCCCCCAGCCCCACCAAAACACCGCCCTATGGTTCCCCAACAGCCCTGCTGAGCATCCCCCTCCCACCCTCCTCGAGGACTCCTAAACAAACCTCGTTCTCCCTTTATGTTCTTGACCCCAGATTTAATTAGACCCCCGTTTCCTGCCTATATGAAAAATCACTTCCCCGAGCAGGTGGCTGCGATACCGCGGGGGCTGTTGTTGTTTTCTTTGGGGCGGGGGGAAGGTGGTAAATGGGGGGAAGAGTTTGTTGTTTATTTTTATATTTACAAAGCGCAGCTTTTTCCTGATGCCGGGCATCGGAAGAGCGGCAGGATGTGACCTTCATCCATCTCCTCCTCGCTCACACAATACAGCCCCGAGCACCG